GGGGACAGGGGGGGCATCAGCACCCCCCCCCCGTGTCCCCTGCATCCTGTCAAGCCCTGTCCTGGCCCATCCCCAACCCATCAGCGGGTGGTATCGGGGGGGTCCATAACCTCCTCGTCCCCCAACGCGAGGCCACCAAAGGGCTGGGTAAATTTGCAGCCAGCTTTGGGGAAACACGCCCCCCCGATCGGGTGGCACCGAGCTGTGACAACGTCAGGCTGGGCCGGCCATGGGCACCCAACCCACGGCGTGTAAGCCCCTGACTTACTCTGGATGACGCTGAGCCCAAAGAGGTGACAGTCCTTCAGCCTCAGGAGGTCACACACCTGCACCAGCAACTCGTGGCACAAAATCTTCACCTGCAAAAAAAACCCCCGCACACGGTCCCACCACGCCCCCACCGCCCCGTGCTGGCTGACAGCCAAGCGCCCTTCCCACCCCTCGGCTGCGTTTTCCCATGTCCTGGAAGTGACCTGCGATGGGGACAGAGGTGGCCTTACTGCCGTCAGCTCTCCATGCAAGACCTCACCGCTGACCTTGCTGGCCTCCTTCTTCCACTCCTTGGGGCAGTACTTGTAGAGTTTCTGGGCCAGGTCCATGTACACGTGCTCATTGTCTGGGAGGGACAGAGGTGGCATCAGCATCCCCCCCCCGTGTCCCCTGCATCCTGTCAAGCCCTGTCCTGGCCCATCCCCAACCCATCAGCGGGGGGGATCGGGGGGGGCCATAGAGGCCACCAAAGGGCTGGGTAAATTTGCAGCCAGCTTTGGGGAAACACGCCCCCCCGATCGGGTGGCACCGAGCTGTGACAACGTCAGGCTGGGCCGGCCATGGGCACCCAACCCACGGCGTGTAAGCCCCTGACTTACTCTGGATGACGCTGAGCCCAAAGAGGTGACAGTCCTTCAGCCTCAGGAGGTCACACACCTGCACCAGCAACTCGTGGCACAAAATCTTCACCTGCAAAAAAAACCCCCGCACACGGTCCCACCACCACATCTGCCAGCCGGGGAGCTGAGCTGGGCAGGCGGCACCAAACCCGCCCCCCCCGGGTCCCCGAGCAGGATCAGGGGGTGACAGGATGGGCTGTGGGGCTCATTTTGCCATGGGGTAACATGCAAGTTCCCCAAAGCAGGCTCCCACCCTGGGGTGCAGGACCAGAGCTCTCCCAGGGATGGGATGCACAGGGGACCATGGGGCAGCTCAGGAGCAGCGGGCGGTGGTGGACACCTCACCGCAACCAGCCCGGCACCAGGGAGATGGCTTTGGGGGCAGAAAACAGAATATTGGGTGGTAAGGAATTAAAAAAATAAAAAGTGGAGGGATTTTATGTTAAATACTACATCCGAGCCAGAGCCAAATCCCCCTCCCGCTTATTTGCTGGGGTACCCGAGGCCGAATTGCCATCCACGGTGGGTGTGGGAAGCGAGGACTGGGGGAGGAAGGACTGCCCGCTCCTCGCCCCGCGGGATGGCACGCAGCAGGTCACCCGCCGAAAAGCACAGCGCTGCCAGCAGCACATCGAGTTGAGAAGAAGCAGGAGAGCGTAAAACATCGCTGCAGCCTTCAGGGGAATAACTCGTGTGCATTTCTCCAGCAGGCTCAAAATTCAAACCCGAGCTTGCAAACGGACCCGGTTGCAAGCCCCTGGGTGTGATGAAAATGTCGGTGCTCAGGGGGTTTCCCTGGCTCCCCCCCCCCGCCGCCTTACGTTGATGATAATGTTGAGGGAGTCGTCGTTGGGGAGGAAGATGCAAACGCTGCGGCGGTCCTGCATGACTCGGTTGTTGTGGAAGGTCAGTTTGTTCATCGTGGTCCGGGCTCGGGGCGGGCGGCGGGCACCTCACCGGCGGGCCGGGGCGGCCTCGGTCCCCGCGGGCGCCATCCCTGTGGGTGAGAGGGGGGCTGAGCTCCGATGCGGGAACGCTTCCCACCCATCACCACACCCCCCAGAAGCGGGGATCACAGGGGATGTCCCGAAACCCCTGAGCGCACCCCACCATGGCCACCCCACATCCCAGCCCCGGCGCCGCGGTTAGGGCAGTGCAGGATTGCAGCCGAGCCCAAAAAACCTGACCCAGCAGTTTTATTCTCCCAGCTCGGGTTCAGAAAAACCTCAGGAAAAGCTTTCCTGGCATCATTAAAAAAAATAAAAGTCTATCTGCTGGGAACAACCCTGGCTCTGCCGGCGAGGGGTTGCTGCCAGCAGCAGAATGGCGAGGGGCCGGTGCGGGGTCCTGCAGCAGGACCCCCGCGTCCCCCCCAGCATCACCGCCCCCAGCTCCAGCTCTCTACCAGGGTTAAATAAAACCAAACCACGCACTAAGGGGAACGGGAATCACTGTCTCTTGCCATTTCCCAGCCTAAATCCATACTGGGGCCGAGCGGGTGAATCCGCCCTAGCACTAACCCCAGGCAATTCGGTTTTGTCTTATTTCCAAGGGCCAATATTCCTTAAGCCCTTTTTACCCCATGACCACCCCCAGGGACACAAACACACGCATGACACAGTGAGCACGGATCTTTAAACTCTAAACTAGTTCACTCTTTTTCTAACCCCTAGATTTATGCTGGCACCGAGGACAGTATAGTGTCTCCCTCTTCACCAAATATTTGCTTTGGTCTAAATGAAAATGCCTTTGGCTCCCAAAACAGTTGAACTTGCATATTTGTACAGCAGGGAAAAAAGTGCCCCAAGGCGACTTTGTGTTAGGTAGTTACTGGGGTTTTGCAGAAGTTGAGAAATCCAGAGGTGATGCTCTCTTGCCTCGCCGCTCCAGGTTTGCAGCACCAAGGCCCCGGCGCAGCTGCGCAGCGTGGCCGTGTATCGCATCCATGCATTGCACCCATGCATCGTGGCCGTGCATTGCATCTGTATATCGTGGATGTGCATCATGGCCGTGCGTTGCACCTATGCATTGCACCTACGTGTTGTGGCCATGCATCGTGGCTGTGCGTTGCATCCATGCATCATGGCCATGCATTGCACCTGTGCATTGCATCCATACATTGCAGTTGTGTGTTGTGGCCATGCACTGCACGTGTGCATTGCATTTGTGCATTGGGACCATGCATTGCATCTGTGTGTTGCATTTGTGCATCGTGGTCATGTATCGCACCTGCACATTGCATTTGTGCATCGTGGTCATGCATCGTCGCCGTGCATTGCATGCGTGCATTGCATTTGTGCATCGTGGCCATGCATTGCATGTGTGCATTGCATTTGTGCATCGTGGTCATGCATCATGTTCATGCATCGTGGCCATGCATTGCATTTGTGCATCGTGGTCATGCATCGTGGCTGTGCATTGCATTTGTGCATCGTGGTCATGCATCGTGGCTGTGCATTGCATGTGTGCATAGCATTTGTGCATCGTGGTCATGCATCGTGGCCGTGCATTGCATTTGTGTATCACGGTCATGCATCACGGCCATGCATTGCATGTGTGCATAGCATTTGTGCATCATGGTCATGCATCGTGGCCATGCATTGCATTTGTGCATCATGGTCATGCATCGTGGCCGTGCATTGCATGTGTGCATCACATTTGTGCACCGTACCCGTGCATTCTGGCTGTGTATCATGGCTATGCCTTGCATCTGTGCATCACGGTCATGTATTGCATCCGTGGATCGTGGCTGCGCATCGCAGCCATGCCGAGACATGATTGATCCCAACTGGGAGCAAACAGCGCAGCAGACGGCTTGGTTTCAAGGTTCATTAAAAAATCACAGCGGTGAACAAAACAGGGCTGAAGGTATTTGGCAAAGATCCTCGCCCCGGCTGGGTGCCCGGCAGCTCCTGTGCGCCAACGCGGGGCTGGGCGTGAAGCAACTTGTATGGGCTGTGGCAGGGAGGGCACCACGTCCCCAGCAAAGCAGCTGTGCCCTGGGGCACCCTCCAGCACCTTCTGTACCCTGCTGCCACCCAAAGCTCTCCTGCAGCCCCAACGGGTGCACCAGAGCATCTTCCCACCACAGCCCCGGGGGTACAGCCAACTCGGAACTACAACCACAGGCACAAACCACCCCGGATTTATGGATGAAACCATCACCACCTGCCACGGGAACGAGCCGAGAGCAGCCGGTCGGGAACAGGTCCCTCCTTGGCCACAGCCTCTGCACCAAGCCCTGCTTGCAGCGGGATCCCGGAGGAAAACACCTTCTTAAGAGCACTTGGAAATGAAACCAAGTCTGCAGGGCGCTGGCAAGAACCCCAGTGTCATAGCTCATCACCTCACTGCCTCCAAGCTGCCCTTAAAAACCAGGCAGGGGCTGGGCGTCGGGCCCCACCGTGCAGCCTGGGTGTCCCCCAGGAGAGCTGCCCGGTGGCACCTTGCCAGTCAATTATTTCCTCCTCCTCCTCCTCCTGCAGCCTGAACTGGTCCCTGAGCATCGGGGATTAAAGCACATGAGCTGGTGTCAGCAGAGCAGGGGCATCATGCGGCTCGGCGGGGACGGCACCGCCGGAGCCAAGGCAAACATCTCCTGCAGCAGCAGCTCTGCAGGGCCCTACCTGCGAGAGCAAGCAAAACACTAGAGGAAAAAAAAAAAACCCAAACCCGTGTATTTTGGTATTTGTACAGAAAATGCTCCAGTTCCTGCTGCTGACCGATAACGCTCCGTCAGACGACCTCGCTCGCCATTTAAGGGCACCATGGGGGTGGCTGGGGGCTTTGCAAGACCCTCCTCAGCTCCAGGAGCTTCCCCCAGGGCTCGGCCAGCCCTCTGCGAGCTGAGGCCGCGGCAGATTTAGCAACTGGGCACAAAAAGCCCTTTCCAGGGCGATGCGCCTCCAGCAGCCTCGGCCAGACGCCGGCAAATTCTTTCCGAGCATCTGCTGCTCATTCCTACAATGTCAGCTTTGATTCCCCGGGACCCCGCGCCGCTGCCCTCGCCGCGTTGCTTCTGCTCCGGCGCAAGCAGCGACATCAGGCACAAACACGCCCGGCTCCGAGCTGGCAAGAGCCTGGATTGCAAGGAGAGCCCCCCTGGAACGCCGCGCTGGGGAGCGGGGGGTGGCACAGGTCACCCCACAGCCCAAGTGGCAACTTCCACCCCAGGCAGTTTTGCAAGGGGTTTTCCATCCTGAGAGCAAAGTCAGCTGGAAAAAAAAAACACTGGGAATGAGGACTCAGGCATGGATCAGCTTCTGCACTGGGAGATCCAAGTCTTCCAGCCGCGTTTGCCCTGCCATAGGGAGAAGAGCATTAAAACTCCATAGGAAGTCATTGCGAACTCCTTATACGCTTTATAATTCCAGGGCTATGCAGGGAAAGTCCCTCCATCTACCAGGTTTTTCAGCCCGGGCTGCTGGAATACCGTCTCCCTCCCGGGTACCAAACGCCACGGGATAAACCCCGTCGCAAAGCTCTGCTGGAAAGAAAACATCACG